CAATTAAATAATAATAATTATAATAATAAAGTTTATAATAACGTTAATAAAGAGATTATGAATATAAAATAACAAATATAAGTATAAATTACTTATTTATCGATAAAAACATATTGGTAAAATATAACTTAACTAATAATAATAATAGCAATAATAATAACCATAATAGTAATAATAATAATAATAATAATAATGAAATATTGTAAATATGAATATTCCAATCGGAATTTAGAAGTTGATTTTTATGGAGGGAGGAAAACCAGAAAACGCAACCCGGAGAAAACCCTCGAAGCAGAGGAGAGAACCAACAAACAACTCTACTCACATACTACACAGGAGAGAACCAACAAACAACTCTACTCACATACTACACAGTGGAGAACCAACAAACAACTCTACTCACATACTACACAGGAGAGAACCAACTAACAACTCTACTCACATACGACATCGAGATCGTCGGGACTCAAACCCAGGTCGCATTGGCGAGAGGCGGCGCTTTCACCGCTATTGTATAGAATTTGTACTTAATAGACTTTTTCACTTATTATAAATCTTATTGTATGTCACCTATTCGTTTAGCTCTTTAGTTGTTTTATGGTGGTATTGTACCTTCATTCTGTCTTTCTTTCACAATAGTATGTGTATACAGCTATATCTCTTAATGTTACCATAAACTGTTGTTGTAATTCAAGTTTTGGTTGTGTTATTTGCTTTTTCCAGGAGACGGCGTCATCACTTGTAAAGATGAGTTCTTGCAGGCAAAATTCGACTTCTCTAAGAAGCCAGTTAATCAATAAAACCGCTGACCAGAGCCTTRAAATAAGAATGACGTCCATTATCTAAGCAGTAATAATAATTGTAAAACCGGCCAAGAAGATTAAAATAAAACACTCTAATTAAAAGAAGTTAAATGTGATATTTTAATTAGAATATAATAATAATAAACAATCAGCCGGGATTTCAAAGTTAACGGAAAATGTTTTGCAAAAACAGTGAGACCGAAAAGAATTCTGGTAATATTCAAAAGAAGGAATAATTTGACGACTCCTTCCAATGTCATCAGTTGCCTAGTAACGCTCACGCATGCTCAACAGAAACGTGTAACGGTTGAGAACAGAGTCGACACGAGTGAAAAACGTCTGCGCATGCTCTGAATCCGTATGCAAATTAGTCAAAACATAAGTAAATTTGACTCTGATACATGCCTGATAAATTGGACTTMACAAAACTTAAGACTAATTCTTTCATATTGTGTTTGTTAATACAGTATCTTGGTCTTACAAAAGTATACTCTCGAACTTTTTTGTATACTTGGAGAAAACAAACATTTATTTTCTCACTCAAACTCTTCAAAATTCTTAGAAAAAGTGCTGAAGTGCACGCATGCGCAAACGTTTTTCTCTAGTGTCAACAGAGTCTCCTTTTCCTCGCGAATGCAGATTCAGCAGAAGAAAAAGAAAGTCTGTCAGCAGGGAGAGAGGAGAAAGAAAGCCACTCAAAATAAGTTTAGAATTAAGAGCGACTGTCTGAAAATCAAGCAAAATCAGAAATATGTGGAAAGGCTCAAATTTTCGAATTCTCTCTATTTTTGGATTTCAGTAGTGTATGATGAAGTACGAAACGCTGTGTGGTTAGTTTTGAAAAATACTTTAAAAGGGAAAAATCGGTTTGAGCTGCAGGGACGATTTTTGCTGCCAAAAAATGGCTGAAAATTGCTTACTTTTGCTTGGTCCGTGTATAAAAACCGTTGATCCAAATAGCCTTCTAATACTTTCTGCCAAAAGTACGACTCTTATTTGCTCATTAAGAGTAATTTCATAAAAATCGAACAACTCCGAGTTATTTAACACAATAAAAAGCAAAGGGCACTGAGTTACAATGCTCGTCAATGCATCTCGAAAACTGCGAGTTTCATCCTTCTAAATCTTATGAGATTACAGTCAACAACCATTGAGAAACTGCTCTTTTGAAAAATGTATTTTTGCGAGAGCTTTTATTTTGACTCATTAAATATGCAGAAATCATTGTTTGGCGATTGCGTGACTAAAGACTTCTCGAAATAAATTCCCTTGAAACATCATTGTTTTTCCAATCTAGTATGATTTCTGTGTACAGCAAATTTACGTGCTAGCTTAGTCCACTCATTTGTTGTTGTTTTTTTTCAGATACAAACATTGATGTTGAATAAAAAACATAAAAACCTCGTAACACTTGTTGAGTTTTTTAATAAATTTACTACGTTGAGTTCGTTTACATTCATGAAAATTTTGTCACGTTCACAGAAAGTGCAATAGAAATAACATTTTAAGATTAAAACTTTTTCACGCAGATTATTTCTGTATAATTTAGCTGGCAGTATGGTATGCAGATCATTAGCATATTAGCAAACTCATTAGCATTTCAAACCCCGGATGTGGGAAAACGTTCTATTATATGACTAATAAAATTTGATAAAATTATAGTTATCAAAAATTCATCAAAATATTAGAGACCTAAAAACTGAAATTTCAAATGATGTTTGAATGTAGTTAAGGACGTGATGACGTCATTCCATGTTTTGATGGGCAAAACATCAAGAAAACAATCCTCAAACCATTATATCTTTTCAATACGGTGAACGGTGAACCCCATTCTTTATTTCATATATTTAAGATTTAATGCTAAAGACGTGCCTTTTTAGATAGGTATTTATTATTTACCCACGGTGAGTCTTTCAGGATTACAATAAATTTAAAATAAAACCTACAATAAATATATAATTCAGGGCTGTCAACCCCCAAGATATTCAAATCTGGAGAATTGATAGGGAAGGGACATGACGTCACAGCGCGTCAAAAAGCGCGCGAAAAGACGACTTTCGCTTTGTAACATTTGATTTGATTGGTTTATTTCTGACCAATCAGATTATCGCTTATATTACAATGGCCTGCTTGCAAGAACAGTTCATGAGGAACGTTTTGATTTTGTTAGCGATATAAAATAACACAAACAACATGAAATAATTGGAATTTTATGGTTGTGAAAGTCTAGTCTCACAAGACAAGAAATGGTCAGCTTCGGGGATTATCCGGGAGATTTGATACTCTAATCTGGAGACCGGGAGACACGGTCCAAAATCTGGAGACTCCCGGTTTATCCGGGAGAGTTGACAGCCCTGATAATTCCATTATACAAATTACCATTCCAATAATATACTAATTACTTAAATATTGAGATAAAGTCTAAATCAATTAAAAAATCAAATAAAACCTGCTCTACCAGGACGCCGTGCAATAATAAGCTTAGTTACCCTGAAATTTGTGTCAACATATTTGGGATTTACATCTTGTCAGTGACGATGCTTGTCTTAAATTTAATGGCAAATTATTCCACAGTACCGTTCCTCTATAACTGAAGCTTGTTTTAAAATATTCGATGCAAGGGAGCGGAACTGATTCTCTGAATTTCTCAGGTTGTGTGTTGCAATTGTGATGTCTTTTCGATTGATAAGTTTAGAGCTAAGATATACAGGTGTCTGGTTATGCGGAGCCTCATACATAAAAATACATTTATCAACCTTGCGTTGATGGTCTAAACGGTTTTGACCTGTTTGTAGTTTTTGAGAAAAGCCTTTATTACAGCTTCCCCACACTACGCTGCAGTAATCAAAGTGAGGTCGTGCCAAAAGCATTGTACACGGTTAATATTCAAGAGTGTTTCACGAGGAACGAAGTACCTAATGCGTTTCATTATACTTATTCTCGAGGCATTTTTTAGATGTCATATGAATATGATTTTCCAAAGTGAGGTTTTGGTCTATTTGCACAAGATTTGTTTTAGTCATATTAAGTGTGAGCTCGTTTGCAGCAAGCCAATCGACATGAATTTTGGACAGATAAAAATTGACGCATTCATTAATTTGGTTTATATTATTGCTGGCAAATGTTATGCTAGTGTCGTCGGTAAACATTCTTGGCTGAAAATAAGTCAGGCAATTAGGCAAATCATTGATGTATAACAAAAACAAGAGGGGTCCCAAAATGGTCCCTTGTGGCACTCCGCACCGAACCAATGCCCTAGACGACTTGCAACTAATTACTATGCAGGTCTGTGTTCTTTTATTTAGATATGAATCAAACCAACCCAAATTTAAACGGTGACCGGTTATTCCATAATATCTAGTCTAATCTCGATAGCAGTAGTGTGGTCTACTGTATCGAAGGCTTTTTTAAAGTCTAAAAACACGACTGCATTGATATATCAATATTCAATATTCACTCAGTTTATGACAAAAATAACATAACGAAAAAGCGACATTTTCTGATTCATCTCTACCCACAAGAACGACGAAAAGCGACAGTTTTGTCCGACTGAGACTTATTTTGTTTTCCCCCAAAGAGTCGGCTTAATAGTTTTATCATCTCATATCACGACCGGGCCTAGAGTTACACCTGCTCCTGCATGCTGCAAACACCAACTCATATATCATACAATCTTTATTGTAGAGAACTATCAGTATAAAAATATTTCAACTTTAATTTTATTTTTTTTACAAAATAAGTCATAAATTACAGAAAGTTTCAGTCTATAGAGTGCTCACACTAAATCCGTGAARCAAATACTAATTTTTAGCACTAAATAGTGATAATTAAACAATAGAAAACAAAGAGTTCTGTATTAAATAGTACTAATTAGTACTATTTAATGTTCACGGTTTTAGTGCGTGCTCTCTAATCGTAATTCCCTCTCTGGTTACATGATGCCCGTAATAAATGAAAGTTCCCTATGTGTAGAGAGCAGTGTCACTGGAATCACAGCACGGACGTCACCTTACGAAAAACGTTTTTCTATCACACCTCTCTAGTACGAACATCAGTTTTCGAAAGAACAGCTTTCTTGAAGTGTTTTACATAGAGTATAGTTGAGAGACAAGGCAGAGACCTCTCTAATAAGAACAATCCAGTTGTCTCCTTTTGAGTCCACTTTCAAGAGAACAGCTATCCCAGAATGTTGTTTGTAAAGAGTATAGATGATAGGCATATGGACAATATACCTCTCTAATAAGAACAATACAGTCGTCTTCTTTGGAGTCCACTTTCAACAGTTGCAACTGGTTTTTTTTAAAATTCAAAATTCATTTTTTGCTGGCCCTCATTTCGTCTTGAACAAAGCTAAATGCGCTTTCTCGTTTAGGCTTTGACAAGAAATCAAAGTCTGTTTTCTGATTGGTTGGCTTGGATAGATTCAGTGGTATCGTATGGTTTGGATTTGGACCAATCAGGCGAGGGATAAATCTACTGGAAGTGGGAACAGCATTTCCATAGATACCAGATATGCCGGTAAAACCAGTCTGGCCCGTAAAACCAGACTGACCAGTAAAACCAGATTGACCAGTAAAACCAGACTGACCACGCAATCCAGTTTCTACACCTTTCATACCAGATTGCTCACTAAGACCTGCCTGCCTTACGGGTTGTCCGACAGGTTGACCACTCAAACTAGATTTGGCTGTTTGACTAGTGGGTAATCCAGTTAAACAAGACAGATTCCCAAGTGCTTCAAGGCTATATGGGTTATCAGAGGGGGAATTAACAGAATCTTGTCCTATTTTTTGTCCTTCCAGTCTTTGAGAAGTCGAAGTCTTCATATCTAGATTTACATTGTTCATGTTGCTAAGAAAACTTGAGGGTTCTTCGAATCCAGAAATGTTCGGTTGACGACCGATAGGAGATTGATGGGGAGTGCTTGTTGATTGAATATTGAGTTTGGTAGACGATAATGATGATGATAATGATGATGTCGATGATGATGGTTGGATTAGTGACGAAGATGACATTCCTTGGGGAGATAAGGGTGAAGGGGATGGATTTACATGAGTATCATTAAGAGTCAGGATATCATCCAAGCTATTTGATTCTGTCAATAATCCTTTCTTGCTGTCGAATTTCACATCCAAAGGATCGAACGTTTCAAATGATTTCTTTCCATCAGACGAGTTACTTGTCAGATTCGTTTTATCACTTGAACTTCCAAGCAAGTCGACGTCATTTAAATCATCGATGGCTGAAGATTGGTTGGATTTTACACGTGAGTTCATCTGAAGATCCCTGAAGTCAGAGCTCATTGATTGGTTAGTTTCCTCACGTGACTGTATTTGGGTATTTTGATGTCTTTCGTGTATCTGTAATCCATGGAAAAGATCGCTCTCTTTTTGCGTCATATTGCTGTGGTCAAGAGATCCAGAGCCAAGAAGATCTGGGCTTGAATCGAACTAAAAGTAATTCAAACTGTTATCAGTCTGTAACATACCTACACCCCAGGGGAGAGGGGGGAGGGGTTAATATACATAATGTCAAGAAGGGGTTCGCAGGCATCCCAGCCACTTCTTAGACAAATTTGATAGGAAATATAGGCCGTGCAAGTTCTAAATATAGGAAATTATAGGATTTTTTCCCAAAAATATATGCACTTTATAGGAGCTAAGATAGCTTTTCGGTGGCGTAACCAGGGATCGGCCATAAAAAAATAAAAAAA